GACGAATCCTCTGTCCATCACTGACAGTAGATCAGAGAGAAAATTGCCTAGGCTCGAGGTCAGATTATTAGGTACTCTGTTCTCCTTTCCGCAACGTGAGATCACTTCTGACGTCAACGCTGCAGTGAGTGTAGCGATGTCGTCGCAGAATTGCGGGGAGAATCTGGACTTTCGCGGAGCCTCCAACATCCCTATTTCCGATAATGTTACAACCATAGAACGAACGATCAATTCTAAAAAGAACCACGAATACGTAACGGCCAATTCTCGGGCCTGTCCCGTCGATACCACCCAGTGCAACGCTAGTTCTTCGTGCAGAAGTCTTCTGGTAGGCTGGCTATTTATGGAAGGTGATTCTTGTCGCATCGAGGCGGTCCGATCCAATCCTCTGGAGTGCACCTCCATTTCTAGATCTTCCAGAGGTAGGTCGGGATTGCTCTGAGCCCGCACGATGCCAGGGGCGTGCGTCATTCGTGGCAAAGAGCATTGATAAGCGACGTACGTAGCCAGAAGGGCGTGCCTCCCGTGAGCATCTAATTGACCATCAGGCAGATTGGTAATATTTCGTACCAACAAACCTATAGCCTCGAACACCGTAGCTGCCACGTTCAGCGGCTGGGATGGTAATGTTGGCGGTCGAACCAATAGGGATATCAATTGATCCAGCAACTGAGGTAGCGATCGTACTAGAGCAGAATGCGATGCTCTTGCCAATTCCAGTAAAGCTGACTTTAATTCCGATTCCATTCCCGCTTCACCGATGCGTGGAGGCACTTGGCCAGTTTCCAAGAAACCACACAGCGATAGGAATCTATCAATGTATTTGTCTTGGGGATGAACACTGGAGACTGGTTCCAGAATTACGGTAAAGACACCTCTGTGAGCGTCCACCCATCTCGTACCAGGTAAAAGAACATCGGGCGCAATGTACGAGTAGTTTGCTGGTGGTGGGTCCAGCATTGCCGGTAGACTGAATTCGCCTGATTGTAGATGGCCATCTCTCAAAAGTGGCAGCCACGTGTACGCTACAGCAGTCTCGACATTCGGTTGTTCTGCCTTCTTCTGACAGCTGATATGATAAAACGTAAACAGCAAATGATGCTTTGCACTCAAATCAGCGGGAAGTCGGATTTTCATTTCGTCGTAGAAGTTTGGATTCTTATTGTGATAGCAGACAGATGTGAAGCACTCGTGAGTCATTTCGGGACAGGATGATCTCCCGAAAATGGCCGTGAGCGCATCAGCCTCCTGTTCGCCACCCATGAGTTGAATTCTCACGGCGATGTTTCGCGCAGAACCAGTTCTTGAACTGAAATTTGCTTCTTTTGGATAAATGTATAGAAGATTGCGGTACGTCAAGTCTGGTGAAATGACTTCGCTTGGAAATTCAAGTATCTCTTTGACTGGTCGACTTTTTTCGTCGGGATATGGCACTAGCCTTCTGAGATCAGGATCCAAACACCTGGGCAATTCTTCGGGCCTAGGACTAAGGTCCAATTTCAATATACCCGGTAGACATTTTAATCGTTTCAAGTTAGAACCAGGTCTTCGTAGTTCGACTAGAAGTTTGTATAAATCTTCGTCTCTTAGTCGTTCACTTTCTTGTTTAAAGAAACTTGAAACAGTCAATGTGATGGGCCTGAAAAATTAGAGGCGTGATTAAGAACGTTAAACAGTTGTGTATGAAATAATTGTAGTTAAATTGTAAAAATATATACCTAAATGTATCAAGACAGTTCGCAAAGTCATCCGGCGACCAGCTACGTCTTTTATCTGAACTTCTTCTTTCTAACGATCCTCTTCTAGCAGGTGGTTCTACTTTTTTACGCCATTGCTCTAATCCGCCCGATTTCCTGTCCAAAGACCCGGCACTTCCTGTGCTATCTGTATCTCCACCACCACCTATTACGCCAGAAATGTGGATGGCAGTCCACGCAAGTGGCATTCTGTATCGACCTAAACGCTCACAAGCAGCTGCAGCAGCTGCTCTCACCTATTTTGAATTTAATTTTTTTTTTTAAATTTAATTTCCTTATCCGCTATATTTAGAATTTTACGATCTGTAGAGTGTGTGATTACTTTTTCTTTATTTTTATCTTCGCGTAAATAAGGTTCAGCACATTCTGAGATATCACCTTGTAATACTTTCTCAAGTCTAACAACTAAAAATAAGTCTGGACTAGGCTTGCTGATACTCATGACACAGCTTCTTGCCAAGGTGCTGGCATCACTGTACGCAATATGACCACCAAGCATTCTTTTTAAACCTTCTGAATTCATATCTACATAAAAGTTTTCGGATACCTGTAGGTTCAAAACATATTAAAAAAAAAAATGTCGCACATCTTTCAAAATTTGCCATCTTCAAATACCTTCTTCTTCTCTTTGGCATCATATAAAGCTAAACTTGCAAAAATAGGTTCAACCTCCAATTCTAATTTCAGTTGAAGACACTTTACAAGAATTTTGTGTGAGAAGGGTTCTGTAGGTTCTGGTGCTGTACCAATCTCCTGCCACTCATCATCTGGAGAAGCTGGAGGTGCATAAAGTGGAAATAATGCTTCCTAAAATTAATATCAAGTTAAAGTTAACATAAAGAATAAAATTACCAAAATCTTAGTGCACATATACACATAGTACTTACTTGACGATCTTCTGATCGTTTTTGTTCATTCATTTGATCAATGGTCTCTGGACAAACTCTGTCTAGCAAGCTTGGAAGAAGGGGATCATGTTGTGAATGCCTTAAATCCAAACTTGCCCAGGATCCTCTCGGCGTGTCTCCACAATTAGATAAATCCTCTTCTTCGTTTGGTGATCCTGAACCATTTGTATCCTCTTGATCCACCTATTTTATATTTGATTTAAATCTGTTTTTCAATCATATGGCATATATATGTATTTTATCTTTACTTAAGCACCTCAAAATCTTGTCTTGGAGTATCTTGAAGAAGTCTGTCTCTCGCTATGGGAGAAACTCTACGTTTATATTTTCTATGTACTATTACCCAATCTGAAGTGAAACTTTCAATACATCTTCTGACGTAAGGAGATACCGTATCCCTAAAAGATTGAATAGAATTAATGTGAATACCAAAAACAGTAGTTTCATTAGTTGTAAGACAAAATAAAATTTTACATAGATTCATGAGGCACAACTGGTTCCTCTGTTCTAATTTTCCTTTTTACAACTTTTAATTCAACATCCCCAGGTGGGAAATCTAATATTGATTTGAGTGGATCACGGTCAAGAACTGACTGATGTTGAGCCAAAAATTCTTCATAGTCTAGAGGCTCTAACACCTCACACAGTGACATCTTTAAAATATTTTTATTAATTACATTAATGTGCGAGTCACAACTTGTGTAGACAAATTGCATTTCGGGATGTACCGTGGAAGAAAAGCCTGAAAATGAACTGCCACTCTTTGACAGATCACGTGAATACGAGGTAGAGGTAGCAATCTGACGTCTAACATCAGCTGCATGCTGTTTACTCAATTTCTGAGTAAAAGCCCGCTGTACAGATGACATTATAAATGCCGGGGTAAAGTACTCCTTTGATGAAATCCTAGACATTTTGTTGGAAATTGAAAATCAGACAGAATAAATAGAATAACTAATATTAATTATAACATTAAAAGATAAATTTTTATCGTAAAATACTCAAAAATCAGTATAACTGATACTATTATAGTGAAAAACAGGACTACACTCACGTGACTTTGTGATTACTGAAAGTCCATCATGTCAAAATTATGAACACTTTTAAGTCAATATCCTAATATTTTGACAGTTCTTATCATAAACGCTTGTTACATCAGGGATGTGCCTTTATCAAGCCAAAATTCCCATTTATACCATAAAAGTACATTATAGATGGGAAACTACTCCAAAGAGTTTGCATCTGGTTTCTCTATAAATATCTAGAGCTATCGAATAACTAAGGATAGAAATTATATTATGTCTGATTATTCTTTTTCTTATAGTTGCAAAAATATTTTAAAAAGTAGTCTAATACTCAATAAGATTATTTCTAAAACTCAACAAAATTATTTTAGTAAGCTTTCCTAATGTTATATTTTTCCCTATATATAGTAATATCTATAGCAATGTTAATTTTTGTAATCTAATATTTATTTTATCTCTAAATTTTGTTAGAACATTGACAAATAATCTATAAGTTTTTCAAAAAATTGACAGGTGTGTTCGTAAAGTTGTGAAGTTCTATTTCCATGAATGCTAGAAGTTTTTTACTAGAGTGCACTAGTAACACCCGTTTAGTTACTCCCTAGCATTCTCATATACTGGGTGTTCAAGTGAGCAGAACATTCAAATGTAACTAGTATTCCGTATATATCGTGTGTCTCATAAAAAAATAATTTTTCACATGTGTCACCTCAGCATTCATTTTTTTTATTAATATTGATTGAATTTCAGAATCGAAAGCATTCTTTCTATGTTTCATAGTTATTGTTAAAAAATAATAAATGCGCTAGAAATATATATGCATTGTTAAAAAACAGTTATTTAATTATTAATATATTGCAAATATACAATGTATACAAATTCATACCTTATAAATGCAAAAAAAAAAAAAGAAATGGATTGCATTTACTGAATATTATAATAAATACTACATATTTTAAACATTTTATATAGGTTTGTGTGAACGCACTTTTGTGTTTTCAAACATTCGATAAATACATAATCAATGAAATTACGAGAAATTACGTGAAATTGTTAAAAATAATTTTTCACTCTCGATGTAAAGTAGTCCAACTTTTTATCTCTCTGTGAATAATTTTGTAACAAGAAGCTCAAATACCGATGATTCAATCCTCATTATTATGGAAGTTCTTGCAACACCTACTCAAAACGTATCGACTTTCCTTGATAAATAGTTTTCTTCTCCCTCTCGTATCTCCCCCTCCCCGCCCCACAAATTTCATCAACGATCCCATTTTCGACCATTCCAATCAGCGGTAGCACGCGAAGGTGTAGGTCGCGAGGGGGTTATTTGCTATATCGATTTTCCGCGATGCGAAGAAACACGGAGGAACGCGTGCTTTCTACGAGCTCGCGGGCGTTAAACGTCGCGGAGGCGGAAGACAGAGATAAAGACGGCTTGGTGCACGCGATAGGACGGGAGTTGTCTTTATTAGAAGACTGCATCCACGCAATAATCGTCGTAACACGATCCACGTACATTCCCCCCCGGCCCGGTGATCTCGCTCCAAAGGACACGGAAGCAAGAAGCTCTCTCGCGACGCAAATGAGTTTTAATTGTATGAATAGATCGAGGTTCGTCGCCGAGGCTCCTCTCCTCGAGCATTGTCTCGGCCACTGTGCCTTTTATTCCCTTTTTATCCGCCGCGGTTTCTCAATTCTCTCAGACGATAGTAGCGTGCGCACGTAGTTTTTGTTCGCGACTTCTGGCTGGCACTTGAAACGCCTCGTTAAAAATCCGAGATTCTTCGACGGATGGTTGTTTTGTGCTTTTCTAGAACTCGGTCCTCACCGAGGTGTGTGCTTTCCAATTCCAGTAAATTCATAATCTTTGCACATTTGTCAAGTATAGTACAGACTCGCATGTTATTAATACATTTATTAGCAACGATAATAGTATTACACGTATAGAATAACGAATAACATGTGTTTCAACGTGTACATGGGAAGCAAGTCATTCGATTGTTTTAAATTACACGAGTAAATACAAACGTCGTTGGTTGCTGGGAAGAAATCGATGCAATAAAAGAGAACAAATTGAATTTCAAAATGGGTACGTATATAACTATTGCGCAAACTTTCCGGACGATACGTTGTTCTCCGTAACGAAAAATTGAAATTGCAGATATTTCGAATCGTTGCCCAGTCCTTGCATTCATTTACATTTCGCATAATAGAACATTGAATTTCTCAGAGTTTTCGCGTCGTTGCGATGATCGAAATAGGTGTGTGGTTTCCTTTGCAGGATTGCAAAGACTAGGTGACATATCGTCGAGATTTAAGAGTACCTAAAGTGTTTTATGGGTATTTGAAGACCTTTTTCTGCCCGTTTCCGAGGGTATACCTTTTTAAGCTGGTTAACGAGTTCTTTCTTACTCGGTGGAAAAAGATAAGACATCATTTATGCGTGAGTTCCAGCGATTTTTCGCCGTTTCCGCGATAATTCTCCCGGAACGAGTTCCGAGGGGAAAAAGCACGGAAGAGAATACAGCCGCGATAGGAAATGCATCGTGAAGAATAGAAGGGACGTCGACGCTCCTATCTGACCTATATTGTCAACTTCGAGGCTCCTGTTTGGCAAGTTTATATTTTCCGCTGCACCGCTGATAAAGTATCGACTTGTACGACGAATATTATGCGAAGGACCGATTAAAATTGGATGGAGGTTTTTATCCCTTTTGAAAAGAAGCATAGCGAAATGATATGAAAAATTCTTTAGCGCAGAATTCTTTTCTTATATTCAGATCAGAAGTTACCAAGTTTTTTTTTTTTTTTCTCTCTCAATCGTCAGTGGAAATTAGTCGAAATCTGTTAAAAAGTTGTATCAGCCGAGCCAACACACGGATCGATCAAAGCAAAATCGAGTCAAAGATATTGCGAGGAAAGTCGAGAGTGACGATAGGCAATTTTCATCATGGGAAAGCTTGCCGGAATCTGCTTATCCGCTCGTCAAAGGCTAGTCGAATTCACTTTGCGTGGCATTGATAAAACGAGCACTTCCGGCGTCTCTGTTTCACGGGGAGGGGGAGGTGCCATCCCCGAATGGAAATGTCGACGCCCGTGGTAAAACATAAAAATCGCGGAATGTTTCCGCCCGTGGTTCATTCGACGAG